AGATGAAATGTGTTAGTGGTCTGAGACCTGTTGGTGTCTTATTGCACCTATGAAGTCATTTTTTCTCTCAGAAGTGAAAGGGAAATGCTTTGGTGATGTGGGTACAAGAGCTACAGAGCGCTGGAGGTTTCATGATGACCAGATGAGCCACTGACAGATAAATGGTTACCTTGAGTGTGTGACTGAACTGTCTTTAGGTTTCCCACCATTTGTTACCACATAGCAGTTACTTGCTGTCTGATTATAATTTGGAATCACACTGGGTAAAGAAATGCATTTATCCCTCTATAGCCCATAACGGCTGCAGGCAGTCTGTGTGTTTTAACTACTGTATCAAAACGGTTTTGTACACAATATAATTTAACATATTGTAACAATATCAATACTTATTAACAATTTAGGAGAAACAAATCGATATGTGTCAACTAAAATTAATTACTACATTTTTACTCCAGGGTCACCTTAGTGCCATACAGTTTGAGTTTGACATGATTAAAGACTTCGGCTAAAAGAAAACAAAAGTCTCAGCTAGTAAAAATGCATATATGTATCAATACTATCTTCACACAACATAAATAATAAAATAATTGTAATATAAAAAAGAAATTGTCTTCCACTTCAGTTCGTAACTCTGTGTTTCTCACAAACTACCATTCAGCTCGCTGGATTCTGGAGTTTGCCTGCATACATCCTGTTCACATCCTGTTCACTAACCCCTGCCGCTGATTAAGGAAACACGCCCACATTAACTGGTGATAGTCACAGTTAACTTGGGCAGCTGTCTGCTCAATATATCATAACATCATTGCAATAATCTGCATGAAACAAAGAAGTGTACCTTCTTTACTCAGTGCAGAGCAGCTGGACGTCGTGTTTGCCCCAGAGTGACCTTTCTAATTAAACACTGATAAATGGGATTTAAAAGGAGGTAATAATACTGAAAAAAAACCTGAACATCTCAAACCATCAAACATCTTAGTTACTGTAGCTCAGGGATTTTAGCAAACAACAACTGGTCTGCAAAGATTATGAAAACATGTGAAACTGACGGACAGATGCATTAACAACATTTTCCATGAGAGGAGTTCTTATTGTAGTGAGTGTCTAGATGTGAATCTAAGAGCTCTTCTGACCTTCTTCTGACTCAGACTCCAGTAAACCACAGCTGAAGTGGAATTTTTTAAACATACTGAATTTCTCCACACAAACACGATCAAGTGTCAGTGTGATATTCACCTTTTTGTCCTCAAAAGAAGAGTGAGCGTCGCTGCCTCCTGGTAGATTGTTTGTTGCTGTTGTCAGTGTCATTTCTGATGTCTTTACTTCTGATTTTATATCCAAAGCTTATATGTCATGGCTTTTAAGCATCTGAGCCTCCTTTTGTCTATTGTAGATATTAGCTGAGTGAAAAACTTCTAATATTTTAACTTTTACATCCAATGCATTTTGCAGGCTCCCTTTGTCATCTATTGGACATGATTGTCTTGATGTTGTCTTGACTACCAACAGATTAGAGAAAGTTAAGTGTGTGAAGACTGTTAGATGAGTTAAGTGTTTGGATTAACAGTGTTCATGGTGATGTTTGTCTGCACACATGAAAAGAGGTCAAGATTTAAACTTATTACACGTCAGAATTTTAGTCTTGAAGTTTGCAATGAAACATGATGACACTGCAGCAGTGACCACTGTTAGCTGTGAGGTGAGAACACAGATGAAATGTGTCAGTGGTCTGAGACCTATTGTTTCCTCTACACCTCTGAAGTCATTCTTTCTGAGAAGTTAAGAGGAAGTGTTTCGGTAAAAATACAGCAGCTCTTGAGGTTTAACCCTCTAATGTTGACCACACACATATAATGCACTGCTTCATCTTCCTGCATACTTCTAAGGAAAACAAACAAAGGTTGATTTAATGAAAAGCAATCCTTTACTTCAACTGATGAAAAGTCCCATGAGAGAATAAAAAAGGAGTCTAAAATCAACTGGGAACTGACAGGGAGAATAACAAGCACTAAGACAAAGTCTGAAGGAAAGACAATGCTAAATGTAGATGAGGGTAATTATTGGACATGGATACAGCTGGATAACCAGACAAGAAAATATATATTTAAATAAAAAACAGGAGACAATCAAAACTAAATGTGGAAATGTAAACACATGAATGAACTTAACATGGGGAGCTGATACAAGAGGAAAATACAGGAAACACTGATGGAGCAAATGCAACTCTAAAACTAAGACTAAATTATAACAATGACTAAAGACTCCAAAATATTCATTATTTATTTTTAGAATAATCACTAAAAGCAGCTTAAAAGATGGATTTTAAGCTACTTTAACCTATATCATCCAACAACACAGATCATATTTGCAATGGACATGGAATTATATTCATAACAGAAAGTTTAGCACAAATTAGAAAAGTTCAAACTCTACTTACCAAGAAACTGGAAAGCAAGTCTGCACAGCGCAGTAAGAAAGTTAGCCTGTTAGCATCAAAGCCGACAAACAGTATGCACGACTTTAGGATTTTGGTTCACACTAATCTTTAAAACTAGGCGTGCACAATCAGACATGTTTTCAACACTCATATTCTTTTTTCTTCTGTTTTAAAAGGGTCTGAAAAGTGAAATTAAGTTGACTATTAAGTGTTTTTGCTGTCATGTTTTTAAGATGTCACAAACAGGAAGTTTAATATCGTCATGGATACAGTGAGATACACCTCTCAAGCCTAGTTTTATGGCCCTTTTTGTATTGTTAAAAATGACACACAGCAAATGAATAAAAGTTTAATAACAATATTCTGTGTGGATACCTAATTTGATATAAAGGTAACTATCACTAGACTACATTAAAAAGAACAAACAGGAAGTTACTCTATGATCCAAGCATTCATGCAGCATCCAGAAAAAACAACTAGAAACATTTCATGAGTAACACCCTATTTCTTTGGTTTGTTGATGGTGGAATAGAGATCGCTGGGATCAGTGGAAAGTCCAGCAGGTGAGGAGGGAACTTTCATAGTGCTGTAAGTCACAGTGTCATCATCATCCCCACAAGCCTATATGAAAAAAACATTATAAGATGTTATTTAATAAATAAACTGACAGGAGCTTTAAAAATCACAAACTTACTGCTAACATCATCAATGTAAATACCAAAATCTTACCCGGGCTTTATTCTTGGTCTTCTTGGTGAAGCTGATGGAAGCATAGGAAACACCATCATCAGCATCAGCCTGCACAGTGAACACAATATAAAGACTGTTCAGTATGTGAATTCATGATGGGACTGTTTCACATCTATTGAAGTAAATTCATTTTCAGCTTCTCTGTTGAACTAAACATAACACTGAGTGTAACTTTGTACTGGGAGTACTGAGAGATCTCACCGTCTCCTGATTGGTTCCTGGACCAGACTCAGTGTCTGCAGGGTTTAAGCTCAGTCGCTGCAAAAATACAGTTTGTGACCAAAATAATACTGAATTAACAAAACTGTTTCAAGGAGGAACTGATTCAGAGTATTTTCCAGCTGATTTTAAGTTATTTAGAGTCTCTGTCTGGTGTGGAACTATAGAGTCTAAAGATGATGATGAAAAGAACATTGGTGAAAGAGAACTTGTTATCTGGAGATTTAAACTCACCATGTTGTCGCTCTGTTGTGCTTTGTTT